GAGCCAAGCCCACCCTGATCTGGGCAAAATGTAGGGAATTTTAAACTGCCTTTCAAACTTGCAAAATGATTTTTCAATTATTTAACACAAGGGGTATTAGGTTTTTATAAGCACTGTCTCTAAAGCAACCAGATGTCTTTAGCTGATGTTGGCTAGGATGGTTTCTCAGTCACTTTTGGAAGCTGCTTTGGTACTTTGGGGACTTCAGGTAACTATGTGAAAATTCTAACCCCCATGCACTCTGCTTCTACTCCAGGAGAAGCCTGTGAACTGCAGCAGCAGGGGCAGCAGCAACAACAACAATGTAATAATCAACACATGATTTCTTTGTTACAATAAATGGAAATGCTGTGGCTTGAAATAGCTTAACGTGACCAGTAAGCACATCCCTTTGGATGTAACAACTGATCTTATCTGGGGAAGAGGCCTGAAAGTTCACTCTGTGGAAAGGGCTGTGCTAAGCATTGTATTAGGTGAGTTAAGTAACATGGGTTCTTTGTTCTCAGAGTTTATAGAGCATTATTCAGTGTGTATGGTCAATCAAAAAGGTCTTCTCTCAGATCTTCCACCTTTCAACCATGCCACTTACTGGTGCAATTATAGGCACTTATTGTCACTATGGGCCCCTGGTGGCACAGTGGTTAAGAGCTTGACTGCTAACCAAAAGGCCGGCAGTTCGAATCCACCAGCTGCTCCTTGGAAAACCTATGGGGGCAGTTCTACTCTGTCCTACAGGGTTGCTATGAGTCAGAATCGACTCGATGTCAACGGGTTTGGTTTTGGTTTTATTCTCACTATAGGGAGCCCTGGTGGCACAGTGGTTAAGCGCTTGGCTACTAACCACAAAGTCTGCAGTTCAAACTCACCAGCCACTCCATGAGAGAAAGAAATGGCAGCCTGCTTCTGTAAAGATTACAGCCTTAGAAACCCTATAGGGCAGTTCTACTCTGCCCTATAGGGTCACTGTGAATTGGAATTGACTCGACGGCAATGGATTTGGTTTTTTGGTTATTCTCACCATATATTAAAAGAAAATAACACATTGAGATCTTGGGAGATTGTATTACATTTCAGGTAAAACATATCTGTGTAAATCTCATTCAAGTACCTATTATCCATGAGAGTTTGAGGTTTTCATAAGCTAAATATAAAGCTAGTGACCACAAGGGTTAATTTTGGGCCCAAGAGATTAATTTTATTTCTATAGACATGAAAATACTTCTCATCCAAGCTTTTTTTTTTGTGTGTGTGTCTATTTCATTTTCAGGGCTCCCCAAATCCTTGGCAAATTGCATCCTGTAAAAATCCCATTTTAATGAATGTTAAAGTTCCCACACTATTTCATAAAGCTTCCAACGTTTGAGTTTTTGGTAGAAATTCTGAGAATTGATATTAATTCCCCTGCCCCAACAGAGATTTGGAAATCCAGTCACACTGGATAGTGACCGTTCCCTGGTGAAGGGAGTTAGTGAACAATGCTTGGATGAGACATGCTGGGAAGGACTCCACTACAAAGGGGACATTCCCCTTAAGGCTCAGTCTCTTAAAGCTTGCTTAGCATGTCCCCTGGGCCAGCAAGAGGCACGTTTTTTCTAAGCAAGAGAGGTTATGTTTGGGGTGCGGTAGGGGATAGTATTGCCTTCTACTTTCCTAAGAAAACCAGCTGAGATGGTTTGGGATAAGGGCCCCATTCACGGGAGGCATTTACAAGCTCATAATTACTGTCTGTAATTACATTCACAATAATGATATTCAGCTGCTTAACTGGCAGGTTTATTGGCTGGGGCACTTCTGGGAAACCTGGGGACTGAGAAGTCCTGGTTGGGTCATGCGAAAACTCAACAGGGATTTATTTAAGGAGGATTCTCGATTCTCTCTTTCCAAGAACAGGGGAGCACATGCAACTCCTATTCCATTCCCAGGGAGGGGTGAGACTCCTGCTACACCAGGTTCCTTAAATTTGGCCTACTGGGGCTGCTGTAGCTGGTGAGAACTATCCCAAGTCCTCCACACATATATGATCAGCAGTGATGGTTTCCAAGGAATTTTTTTGCTGTTTATTGCCCATGG